AGCGAAGGGGAGCCCCCGTCCCTGGCGGTCACCACCAGCTTATAGTCAGATATGGTCTCGCGGTCCAGGGCGCTGTCCAGCACCAACGAATAGTAGTTCTTGAAAGTGGACACTAGCTTGAAGGGAACATGTGGCGTCAGGTGACAAGTCACCTGTCCGTTGGCACCTGAGTCACGATCTGACACGCTGATCAGGGCTATGGCCATGCCAAGTGGAGCATCTTCTAAAACAGGTAACGATAATGATTTGATAACCAACTCAGGAACATTATCATTGGTATCCACAATTTCCACTAGAACCGTGCAGTGATCTGTCATTGGAGGATTTCCTTTGTCTGTCGCCTCTATTTGGATTTCATATGACCTAGTTTCTTCGTAATCTATGTTTCCTTTTACACTGATGTGTCCACTAACCTGATCTAAGTGAAATTTCGACAGAATCTCTGCTGATACATCTGTATTGAAAGAATATTCAATGTCCTTGTTTACTCCTTCATCCAAATCAGAGGCGTTAACGATCACTACTAAGGTACCATATGAAGCATTTTCAAATAATCTGACTTTGTAAACCGACCTCTCAAATGTTGGGGCGTTGTCATTTACATCCAAGACAGTGATCTTCACTTCAGTGGTGCCAGTGAGTTCTGGTTTCCCGGCATCAACAGCAGATATTAGTAAATGATGATTAGGAGTGTCCTCTCGATTTAAAAGTTTTTTCAATACCAGTCCAAGGGATTTAATTTCCTCATCATTTCTTTTAACGTCCAAAGCAAAATATTCACTGGAATCAAGACTGTAAGTCAACAACGAATTAGTTCCAATATCTGCATCGGATGCGCCCTCTAGCGAAAACCGAGAACCAAGCTGTCGGGATTCGTAAATAAATAGATTTTTTACTGCCATGGGAAATACTGGCGGGTTGTCGTTAATATCTTTCACTTCCACCTCCACATGGAAAACCTGCAGCGGCCTGTCCACGATCACCTCCAGGTGGATGCTACACTCTGCGCTCCGCCCGCACAGCTCCTCCCGGTCGATCCGAGAATTCACAAACAAAATGCCATTCTGCAGATTTACCTCCAGAAGGTCCCCGCGGTCCTT